TTCCTTCCTTCCTTCCTTCCTTCCTTCCTTCCTTCCTTCCTTCCTTCTTTCTTCCAAGACAGGATTTCTCTGTGTAACCCTGGCTGTCCTGGAACTTGTTACGTAGACTAGGCTGACCTTAATTAAACTCACAGAGATCTGCTTGCCTCTGCCTCCTGAGTGCTGGGATTAAAGGCGTGCACCCCCCACCACCCGGCTATTTTCTTTTTCAAAAAAGAAAGTTCTTGGGGCTGGAGAGATGACTTAGAGGTTAAGAGCATTGGCTGTTCTTCCAGAGGTCCTGAGTTCAATTCCCTGTAACCACATGGAGGCTTACAACCATCTATAATGAGATCTGGTGCCCTCTTCTGGTGTGTAGGCATATCTGCAGGAAGAACACTGTATACATAATACATAAACAAAATCTTAAAAAAAAAAAGCAAATTCTTTATAGCAGGCATTGTTTTTCAGGAATGACCCCAACAAATCCAGAAGGAGATGAAAACCTTAAGCCTTCTCTCTCAGCTGAGATCCAGTCCAAGGGCCATCACACGCCCGGCCTGTGGAGACAGCCTAAGGATGGCAAAGATTGGGGTGAGGAGTATGTCACAAAAGATCACCCAGATAAACTCAAGGAGGCTGGCCAGGGCAGACACAGTTCCCTGGAAAATGTCTTATGTGAAACCTCTCTAGCTGGTAAGTTCTGAGGGTGGATGTAGGAAATAGAAGCGAATAAGGTGTGTGAGGGTTTGGAACAGAGGGCTGGAACCCAGGTAGTATGGACGGCGTGAACACGTGACACTACCTTGTATCTTCTCAGGAGGAAGTCCCTAGAGCCTACAGAGGTGACCCAGCAGAGGTCACGTACCCTGGTGGGACCTCCACCTTGACTCTGGGTATTTATGCCACTCTGCATGGCAGCTTCGGCAAAAAAAGAAAAAAAATGCTGAGGTTCTTGGAGAATATCTATTTAGTCAGCGATATTGAATTTTCCATATGCCAATCATTTATTAACAGTCTGCCGCCAAAATGTCGGACACTGCAACAAGCTCTTGTTTTCCTTCCTCCTTCCTTTCTCTCTCCTTCCTTTCCTTCATGTAGTAAATGAGTCCTCGCAATCGCATTCTCCACTTTTGGGGGAGTAATTTTTCTTAATATTATTTTAATCAAATACATGAAAGTTAAATAGAACTAAAAGCTTTTAAATTATTATTATCAAGAAACAAGAGCAGACACTTTGAATTCTTTTTGATAGTTTCTCTTGGTACTCGTGTCTTAATGCTTTGTGGTTGTTGCTGTGTAGAATAGAACACCACAACCAAGGCAAGGAAATCACATAGTTTGACTTCCAGTTTCAGAAGGTCGGAGGTCATGATGGAGGAGCAACAGCGAGGCTGAGAGCTCACATTCTGACCTACAGCCAGGAGTCAGGGAGGGATCACTGGGACTCACATGAGGCCTTTGAAATATCAAAACCTGCCCCCAGTAACATGCTTCCTCCACACCTCCAATTCTTCCCAAACAGTTCTACCAATTGTGGGTCAAGTATTCAAATGTATGAGCCAATGGGGGCCATTCTCATTCAAACCACCACAATTGATTCATATTTTACGCTATTTTGTAAACAGTACTTTGTTGAAAGTTAATTTACATAGACCAAAATTCACAGAGGTACATTTAAACTTAAAATTTGTAGCACATATGTGTATATATGGTGTATATGTACAGGTATGTGTGTACAGGTATGTGTGTACAATGATGTGTGCTATTGTGTGAGTATGGAGATTGTGAGGTAAGTGCTCTAACCACTAAGCAATCTTGTGGGCCTCAGCTTATGACTTTTTTAAAAAAATATTTATTTATTTGTTTGTTTGTTTGTTTATTATGTATACAATATTCTGTCTGCATGTATGCCTGAAGGCCAGAAGAGGGCACCAGATCTCATTACAGGTGGTTGTGAGCCACCATGTGATTGCTGTGAATTGAATTCATGACCTTCGGAAGAGCAGGCAATGCTCTTAACCGCTGAGCCATCTCTCCAGCCCCCTCAGCTTATGACTTTAAAGAAATATTTTATTACTTCTTTGAGAGTTTATTTTGATCATATTTACCCTCATCCTCTAGCTCCTCCCAGACTCACCCCTCACTGCACCACTCCCTGAAAACGTTGTGTCCTCATTTTACTTTGTTTTTATAAAATATCCACTTGGTGCTGCTCATAAGCTCTAGGCTATGGGGCTCGGCCAGCTGTACCTTAAAGGAGAACCCACTTGCCCTCCCAACTTGACATTTGCATATGAATATTGACTGTGATCACTAACAAGATCATCATACATATTTCTCTTATGCTAGGAATTTCTCTCATCCTCATTTTAGTCAGCATTTATGTAGAGAACCATTGTACCTGCTGTATGGTTGCATCTGTTCTTGAACTTCACGTCAATGGGATAATACTTTATACTTTGTCTATTCTTTTTGTCTGGTGTCTTTTTTCTCTATGTGTTTTTGAGATTCATCTATAGTGTTGCATATAATTCATTTAGTAGTTCTTTTTTATTAACCACACTAGTGTCATTATCACATTTTTAAAAAATTCATAATCCAGAGCTGGAGAGACGGCTCAGTGGTTAAGAGCACTGGCTGCTCTTCCAGGGGACTGGGGTTTGCTTCCAACACCCACATGGCTGCTCACAACCAGTGCTGAGACTTTTGTTTTTCATAATGTAATAAAAACTCTAACATTTATATCTTTTTATCTTTAAAGCATTTTGCTTAGAGACCTCAGACACCTCACTCCCACTCTGGCCCATCACATTGCTGTCACTCTGGCTTAATGGAAAACCATTTTTTTCTCATTAGTGTGAAACAATTCTCCCTGTCTTCAGCTCCTAACGTTGCTATTGGAAAGCCCAGCCTTGCTCTCATCTTCAGTTCTTTGAATGTGATCCAGTATTGCTGTCTGGTAACATTAATTTTAAAGCCAGGAATCAAATCTATTATATAAAATACTAAATCACACACACACACACACACACACACACACACACACACACACACACTTTACTTTGAGCAGGCCAGAAGACAACTTTTGAGAGGCAGTTCTGTCTTTTTACCATTTAGGTCCTGAGGGTGGAACTCAGGTCCTTAGGTGTAGCACCAAGTGCCTTTGCCCTCTGAGCCGTCTTGCTGGCCCCTCCATCTGGTAACTTTTAGGGTCTTCCCTTTATTCCTGAAGCGATGCAGCTTCCCAAGGATCTGGTGGTCCTCATGATGAAGTGCGATCTTTTTTATTATTTATGCAGAGGACAATGGGGCTCTCTGGTAGCACATGTCCTGGGGTGCCCCCCTCCCCATTAATTTTGTAATATCATCTGAGCCACAGTTTTCCTTTACTTTGGTGCTTCTAATTCAGTGTTAGATTCCCTGACGTCATTTTTCCACAGGCCGTATTTTTCTTCAATGTGCCTTTCTCTTCTGTGCATGGCTTTCTCTGAGGGAGAGGTGTCTTTGACTTGATCCAACCTTAAATTTGTCTATGTTTTAAAAAATGGCAAGAAGTTTCCTCTTTTAAAACAACATCCAGTAATTGTTAAGTGGCTACAATATTTTGCATATCTTTTTGAGAATATTAAGTGTAAGATTTAATTTTCACATACATGTGTATTTGTTTCCTCTCTCCTATGGTATAATCTTATTCAAATGTCTCAGTATCTTTAATTGTTTATGTGGTCAAGAAATATTATCCCCCAAAAGAAAGAAACAAAATGAAAGGAAGGAAGGAAGAAAGAATGAAATAAACACCCTGCCCCCAAATAACCTGGAATTTTGTATTATCCAAGCTTGTCAATAGTGAGTGAGCTATTAGGTAGCAAAGTTTGTTAAACATTTTCTTCTGGCCAACAAACCTCTCCTCCGACACAAATAATCCCAATCAGATCAAATCAAACTGAATTCAAAGATACCCAGGTTTAATAGATGGCAATAGAGGACAATACTCCCTGGTGGTCCCGGGGAAAACATGGAGAGGGAAAGAGAAAAAAGGGGAGACCCTGAGAAACCCGGAGACCACGTGTTCATTCTCTAGGGGGTGGGGCAGTTTAAATAGCCTGTGGGAGTGGTCTTGACTTTCCCTGGGGCGGGGTCACCGTTTGGTGGGCTTTCTCGGAGGTGGAGTCTGGACTGAGGCCATTCCCCAGGGGAGGGAGCTTATGCTGGGAGCTGGGGTGAAGCCCCAGCTAAATATTTAAGACTTTTTGTATAAAGGGGTACCAGGGAGCTGACGCTTCCAACCAAACAAAGTTGCGTATTGGTAAGTGATCTCTTTATGTCCATATCTTAGTGTGGTATCCTGTCCTACTTGGGAAGTTCAGTGCATCAAGTGGCAAGCTGCCCGTCTCTGCCAAGAGTGTTTAAACCAGGCTGTCGGCACTCTGGGACCTGGGGTGGGGGGATGTGGTCAAGGGGTTTCTCTGTCTCATTAGCTGCTCATTCTGCCTACTACATCTTTAGCTCAGGCAAGGGTTTCCCTAATGCTGCTTCTCCCATTTCTCATGGGGTGAAGCCCCGGTATACCAGTCTGCAAGTACAATCTGGAGGCTCATGCCATTGGTGCAGATTTACCTCACTTGCTTCTGCATCTCCAGTCCCTCAGCCTCTACTGCTTCTTAGAGGGTTCTCCGTCTTCGGACACATGATGTTGTGTCCTTTGCTTGATGAATCTTATGCCTCCAGTCTGCTTTTCTTTTTGCCCAAATATGCTGATGCCTTTCTCTCTCCCCCTGCCACCTCTGTCACTTCACTTCCTCCCCCCCCCCTTGTCTCAAGGGGTCCAGGGTTGGTTAAATATCTGAAGATGACCTTGGATTTCTGATCTTCCTGCCTTCCCTTCAACTCCTGGATAACAAGCGTGCTCCACCAAGCCTGGTTTATGTGATCCTAGGGGGACACTGCCAACTGAGCTTTTCCATGTGTTTTTATTGATTTCTTGCCTGGCTTAGTGTTTGGGAGGGAGTTGATTAACAAAACAATCCATTTGGGTTTTTTTTTTTTAAAGCAAAAAGACAGACTGTGGCTCTGGAGCTGCTTGAATCTGAGCGGAAATACGTCATTAACATCTCTCTGATCCTGAAGATAAAGGCAACATTCCAGGGCTCAGACGGAAAGAGGAATTCCAAGGAGAGAAGGTACCCGTGTGCTCATTGCCTTTGCTTTTCAGATTGAGTAAAATTTAAGGTAAGTTCTTCACCATTTCCACTTTGGGAATACTGGGGCCTAGAGAGTCCCACAAACAGCCTTTGAGAAGAGGATAGGCCATGAATTTCTTCATTTCCTCTGGGCTTAAAAATGAGACACATAACCAGGCATGGCGGCACACGCCTTTAGTCTTAGCACTAGGGAGGCAGAGGCAGGTGGATCTCTGTGAGTTTGACGCCAGCCTAGTTGGTCTACAGGCCAAGGTCCAAGACAGCCAGGACTGTTACACAGAGAAACCCTGTTTGGAAAAAACAAAACAAACAAACAAATGAACGAATGAATGAATGAATAAAGTGCACCAGCAGATAGAGGAAAGAGACTTGAAGTAGGAGAGAGGCTTAATAAAACACGAGGAAGTGGCTAAGCAGCCCTAGTCTATCGTTGGCAGAATACAGACTGTTAGGAAAAATTTTAAGATGGGCCTCTCTGCAAAAGAACTCCAATCAAACCAGATTAGACTGAATTAAAATGCCTGCATTTAAAAATGCAGCACTCTCAGGTGGCAGGGAGCATGGTGGTGTGTAACACGAAGGCAGGCTTGTTGGGGTTTCTGTCCCTCCCAGTACCCCAACAGCCGGCAAGCAACAAAGAAAATCACACACAAGACTCCATAAGGTTATAAACTGATTGGCTCATTAGGTCAGGCTTCTTGTTAACTCTTATAACTTATATTGACCCATTATTCTCATCTATGTTAGCCATAATGGCTCCGTACCTTTCTCTGCTGGGCAAGTTACATGCTGCCTCTTCGGTGGTCTGTACAGGAGTGGTGAGGGAGCTCTGCTTCCAGAATACTCCCAGTCTCTTTGCTCCACCCCTACTTCCTGTCTGGCTTTTCCGCCTATACTGCCTGCCTGGCCAATCAGCGTTTTATTAAAATGATTGACAGAATACAGACAATTCTCCCGTATCAGTGGTGGTGGTGGGGGAGACAGGGATAGCACAAGCAGAATCCAAAACGGAGTGTTCCTTTTTACAGCTCAAGCCTAAATAGCCTGAGGGAGTGGTCCTGACATCCCCCCCCCCCGGGAGGGGTCAGCACTTGGCAGGCTGAGAGGTGGAGTCAGGAGGTGGAGTCCAGCCCAAGGCAACTCCCAGGGGGAGGGGACTTGAGATGGAGCGTTCTGCTCCATTGGGGCTCCATTGACAGCCCTAGGATGGATGCCAGGGACTGGGGTGACACCTCCAATCATCCCAGACTCCATGGATATGAGGATATCAGAGGGCTGGGGTCTCACTTTCAATCAAACATCCCACAGTCCTTGGATATAGGGGCATCGGCTCAAGTCTGGCTACTTCTTGCGGGCATGGGGTGACATGGGAGAGAGAGGGGAGCTGGGAGTTGGTGTGCTCACGCTCAGCCAGAGGTGTGGCTGTGGCAGCATCTGGTTTGCTGTCGTCCTGGAATCCTCAGGCAGCAGCTTTTTGAGGGAGATGAGAAGGCAGGTGGCTAGGAGAAAAACCAGATTTTAGTTGACAGGTGTCCTTGATCCAGATGAGTTGGTACCAATGGTGAAGTCCCAGGAGCTGGTACAGGTGTTTGGCATTGTCTGGGGAGTGCTTTGTGGGTTGGTCTTGACCCAGATAGCAGGAGTGACCTGTAAAATGTGCTCGAAACTGGCTGGGGTTAGTGTAGGCTCTGGAGACTGTTAGTTTTTCACTAGATGATACGGTAGTAGAACTTTTCTAGGAACCTGTGTAGTATCTGTAAGAGAACTGGAACAGATTTACATCTTGGTGTCATAGCAAAAGGCTATTGTTTTAGGTTAAGGTGTGGACATTTTAGAAGATAAAGGAAATTGGGAACTCTGAACCTCTGAAGAAACACCTGAAACCTGTTAATCCTGGACTATGAAGTCTGTTAAAGAGGCACACCTGTCTATTTTAGCGGGAAACTTCATTAAATGCCATAGATGAAGTAATAAGTAAATAGTACCTTAAATTATCAAATGCCATTAGACAGACCTGAGAGGAATAAATGAACAGAAATGTGAAAGCTTTTTAGCTATGCAGGCAATCCCAATCCTCTCCTCAGTCCTTGGAGAACTCCAGTCTTAGAAGCAGTGCTTGCTGTTAGCTGCTGAGTACGAGAGACCCAAAGATTTTTCCTGTGTGTGTGTGTGGGGGGGGGAGATTTAATCTACCTGTCTTGGCAGGATGAGGAGATCCACTCCCTGGGTGAAGTACCCATGAAGCTGAAGAGGTGAAAGGCCGCTTTTTGCTGTGTGAGTGGCTTTGCCAAGGCCAAGGGCAAGCCTGGAGGCAGAAAGTCCTTCTGTAGCCATGCATCTTCTTGGAGGAGCTATAGGTTGCTGCGGGAGCTCCATGTCTGTGTTAGAAGCCCTTTTGATGAATGCCATACTCTCAGATCTGTAAAGGCACTTTAGAACTAGGTACCATTAACTGGTATTTAAACTGGGCATATAAGCTAAATTTAGGCATGTATTTTATCCAATCACAGTTTATCAATGCTAGTAAATGTAAGAAGGTGGAAAGGAATATTTTAATAAGCCAAAGAATCTTAAAATGAGCACACATGCACACAGAAACATCTATAAAGTTTCACAGACATACTGTGGCCACATTATTTTAACAGAGAGACAAAGTACTTTGTCCGCTGACCAGCCCAAAATTGTGGCATAGGCAGGCGACAAAAGCCAGAAAAGCACAGAGGTGATCCCATTAAGGGCCAGACTAGCAGATGCTGCAAGAGGGAACAGAAACATCCACACAGTTTTAAAGTGGAAGGGCGGGGGGAAAAACGAATCCGTTGTAGAGAGTCCCAGCGTGAGACAAACAGCTAGAAGGGGAAGGGGCCCAGAGTGATCCCATCATAGGCGGCAGAAGCCAGGGAGGCATAGCAAACAGCTGATGGGTGGGCGCTGTTCGGAAGCAACAGAGATGGCTTCCGTTGTCCTTGGCTGATGAAAAGGTAGTCAGGTTTAGATCCCCGAATCTGGAAAGGATGGGGGTCAGCCACACCTCTAGGCATAGTGTCGGAGCTCCCCTCCGGAAAAGCAGAAGTGGGGGGCAGGACAAACTTCGGGCTTCGAATCAGTGGAGGGGTAGAAGGAGCGGGCAGGAGCGCACATCTAGAAACGGTGGGTTACTGAGCCTTAGATAGCCCCAATTTAAAAGAATCTTTGTAACTAGCTCTTGTAGACCAGATTGCCCTCGAACTCACAAAGATCCGCCTGCCTCTGCCTCCCGAGTGTCCCGAGTGCTGGGATTAAAGGTGTGCACCACCACCACCTGGCCAAGACAGGCTCCAAAGCTACAGAAAAACCCTGTCTTGAACCCCCCACCCCTCCCAAAAAAGGATCTTTGTAAACAGCTGACCAAGGGCGTTTTAGGAATCGGCTTGGAATTGCAAGAAACCCATTAGAAGCACATGCCTGTGTGACTCAAGTCTGTCACAGCACGTCCACTGAGACAACTCTTGAGCTGAAAATGGGGCTGTGAAAATTGAATGACAGGCGTCCCTGGCCAATCAAAATTCACCTCCGCTAAGCCTGGCTCAGCCAGGTGGATCAGGATTTTGGCGTGGGTCCACGACTTCAGCAAAAGCCTGAAAAGCGAATGAGTCACCCTGGGAACCCTACCAAACCCTACTGGAATAAGCAAAAAGGGGAAATCACCAAGTGAAGTCAATCTTGCCTAGTGAAAAGGACGTTTTTCAGCACATGGCCCTGGGCCCACGGGAAAAAAAATGGACCCTTTCGGTGGGGGGACTTCCATTTGTTAGGAAAAATCTTAAAATGGGCCTCTCCACCTGTGCAAAGAACTCCAAACCAGATTAGACTGAATTAAAATGCCCACGTTTAATAAATGCAGTACTCTTGGGTGGCAGGGAGGGGGGGGCAGAGAGAGCACAAGTAAAACCCAAACCCTTTTTTCCAGCTTGAGCCTAAATAGCCTGTGGGAGTGGTCCTGATCCTCCCCCGGGAGGGGTCAGCGCTTGGCAGGCTGGGAGTTGGAGCCCAGAGGTGGAGTCCAAGGCGACTCCCAGGGGGAGGGGACTTGAGATGGAGCGTTCTGCTCCACTGGGGCTCTATTGGTGGCCCTAGGATGGATGCCAGAGACTGGGGTGATGCTTCCAATCACAGACAACACGGCATCTTTGCCCAGTGTGCCTCTTTGGAGCAAAAAGAAAAAGATATGCAAGCTTCTTCATTGCCCCAACACCCTGAACTTCTAGCTGCAATGTTAACCTAACCTTATCCCTGACCCAAGTGGCATTCTTCTAGCCAGCAGCTAAGGATAGATTGCTTGGGTATTGGAATCTAAAACGCTGGAAAGGATTCCTTTAGGATTTCTATAGAGTGTGGCATATATGAAACTGTCCCAGGTTGGCTTTTAGCAAGACATTCCTGTGATATGTTGTTTATTGCTTAGTCAATTCACATTTGCATAAGGGGCCATCAATAAAGGGACCTTTCATTGTCTGAGGAGAGACACTTTGCTGAAAAGTGGGGCCTCCTGTGTTGTTTCTTATGGGACCTTTGTGTAATTCTTCCTTTGTTCTATTTCAAGCCTTTTCCCTGGCTCCTTGCGCTACCTTGTCCAGCAGCACTTGGATTTGCTTCATGCCCTGCAGGAGAGGGTCCTGAAATGGCCACGCCAAGGAGTCCTTGGAGATTTATTCCTGAAGTTGACAAACGATGAGGTAAGGTTTCCCCTTTTCTATCTAAATAAAAAGGAAGGTTTTAATTTTAACATAGTAAAATTACATATAACAAAACAGGTACCAAGCAAGAATTACAATTATAATATTTGTATTTACTTTGTCTTTTATCATAACTAAGGAAAACTATAATTATAACTATCTATTGTTTTGGATACGGAAAATGTGGTACATTTACACAATGGAGTACTACACAACAGAAAAAATAATGACATCTTGAAATTTGCAGGCAAATGGATGGATCTAGTCATATTGAGTGATTAACCAAGATCCAGAAAGACAAATATCATATGTACTTACTCATAAGTGGCTTTTAGACATAAAGCAAAGAAAAGCAGCCTACAATTCACAATCCCAGAGAACCTAGACAACAATGAGGACTCTAAGCGAGACATATATGGATCTAATCTAATGGGAAGTAGAAAAAGACAAGATCTCCTGAGTAAATTGGGAGCATGAGGACCATGGGAGAGGGTTGAAGTGGAGGGGGGAGGAAAGAAGGGGAACAGAAAAAAATGTATAGCTCAATAAAATCAATAAAAAAGAAAAAACCTGTCTATTCTTCAACTCCATCAAAGACTCCAGAAGGATATAATATTACCTAAGTAAACAGAAAGTGCATTGTGTGCAACTTCCGAAGTTCTAGAAATGACAGAGACTTCTTGCTGCCTGGACAGTCACCCAAAGTTCTTCTGTACCACTGTGGCGTCCATCTTCAGCCTACAGGCCTATAGCCCATAGTATCTGGCAGGCTTTCCCAACACGCAGGGAATTTGAAGATCTATGATGCCTTGTACTGGCAAAGTTCATCAGTGTCTTTCTTCTGTGTCCTGAAAAATGTCTGACAGTTCTCTCATGAAGCAGGAACCCTGAAGGACTGTCTCATTTTCCTGTGGGTCCTGTATGCCTAGTTCACATGGCATACCATCAAGCAGTTCAGGCAAGAACAATTTCTTACCCAAATGGCTAACCCAGTCCATAAGGAGCCTCTTTAGTGCCTGATGGTGGAAGTTAAAAAATAATCCCACACTAGTTCAGAATCACATATAATAAAGGATTATTTATTTAGGGATAGACTCACAGATCACAGTCCTCTGCATGAACAGGCAACAGGAACCAAATCTAGCAGCTGGAAACGAGAGCCAGAAGCAAGACAGCGAGAGCACACTTTACAGCTGCATTTATAATATAAGAGACCATGCCTAAGTGGGCTGGTATTTTTAAGGCTATTGGCCAAAGGAGCTCCCACAGCAGATGCCTATCTTCCTCTTGAAGTAATTGGTGCTGCCAGGAGCAGATGTGTCTCATTGTCATGAAAAGTCCTAAGTTCTTAAACATTTTAAATGCCATATTCTGTTAGTCTTTGAAGGGTTTGAGGAATAACTATCCATCTGAAATATATCTCTGTACATATAGAAAACTTAACTAGCATGACTACAGGTTTGATTATTATAGATGACTATCTTTTAACCTGTATTTTAATTATACATTACATTTTTAAATGAGCTGCACAAATACAATACCTTAATCAAGAGCAGAAATATACATATAACAAAATTGATCTTAAATTGTATCAATAAACTAATATCCATACCAATGCAAAGTATTCATCTCTCTATCATATCCCCCTTTAAATGTAAACAAACATTTATAAACAATCATTTAGGGAATTTGGGTGTAGTTCTCTCCAAACTGCTTCTTGCTTTTTGTTGGGCAAAGTAATTTGGGGAGTTTAGAATCCCACATCAATCAAAGGAAACAAACAAATTTTTTAAAAAAATTAACAAGGGGCTGGAGAGATGGCTCAGAGGTTAAGAGCACTGGCTGCTCTTGTGGAGGATTGGGGTTGGGTATGATAACCTGGATGGTCACTCACTACCATCTCCAACCCTAATTTCAGAATATTTGAGACTTTCTAGCTTCTGAGGGCACCAGGCATTGACATGGGGTACATATATACATGTAGACAAACACTCAACACACATAAAATAAAACTAAATCTTTATAAAGAAGATAAATAAAACCTCCAAGAGCAAATAAAGAACACAGTTAATAAACTATGAAAATATTCTGAGTTCTGCTCCTTTTTATGTTCATGGTAGTATAAAAATGTTGTCATTCCTGTTTTCAGGTTCTTACCCTGCATTTTTGTGTTTGTTTTAAAGAATAATTTCTTGGATTATTATGTTGCCTACCTGAGGGATTTACCCGAGTGCATCTCCTTGGTTCATGTTGTGGTTCTGAAGGAGGTAAATCAACTCTATGCACAGCTGTCCTTTATTTGCCCATCCTCTGTATCCTGTTGCTGGTCACTCAACAGTGTGATATAGCATGTGCCCTGTGAGCTTGTGTTCCAGACCGAGGGATGCCTTGGCCATGTTACTGCTGCCCCTCTTCTTGTTAAAGGAGTCCAATAAAGGATCAGAGCCATGCTCTGGTCCTTGCAACGCTTTAATGACCCTCTGATCCACTACACTGAATCAGCATGCAGCTTGTGTGGTGTATGTGTTGTTTTCAGACTCAAAAAATATGAGTCTCAGTTCTGGACTCAAATTGTCCTTTATCAAGTGGCTCCATCATATTCCTTTAAGCACGGCCACTTCAGTGATTTATTTATTAGGTGTTTGATATGCATGTCTAATTATAGGGGAAGGCGAATTCAGATACCCTCTCTGTTACTGCTAGGAGTCTTAGCTGGAGTCATCCTTGTGGGTTCTTAGGAAGTTCCCTAGCACCACACTTCTCCCTAAATCATATATGAACAATAAATTAAAATAAAAAGATAGGCAAATTCATTTTGTTATTTTAAGTCAACAAGAAAATAGCCCACCAGAGTTGTAAAGGTTAGAGTAGCTGCAGCTCGCAGGAGATGGAAGCCGATATGTCTTAGTTTCTGCTTCACCTCCCCGAGTCCTCCCAACCAAAATGACTGTCTCATGCCAGCATTCAGCAAATGTCTGGAGCAAGGAAAAGAAGGGAACGTATAGAAGGGGAGTCAGTTGTATTTTCTGCTTCTAGGCTTACTCGCCAATTACTTTCCTGTCTCCACGCTTGAGAGACTCTCGTTCACACTTACTGAGTATTAGTAGAAGACTTGCTTGAAAACCATAATTCATTCATTTAATTCAAGTACAGCTTACTGAGCGCCTACTTCTATCTAGCACTGACTTTAGAAGGGTTGGGAAAGGAAGGGACAGTTTGGAAACTTGCATCAATTAAAAAGAAGTACATGTTATGTTCCCTGCTGGAGAAGAGTTGTCTCTTTGGGCATGACCCTGAGCGTGTGGCCTCTCCAGTTAGAAGATGCTTTGGAAATAAGCATTTCCTATCTGGTGGGAGGGATCTCTGGGGTTCTGTTTGCAGTGTGGGGACCCTGAAGAGTGACCCCACTTTTTTCCACTCAGGGTGATGAGGAGATCAAATCCGACATCTACACCCTGTTCTTTCACATTGTGCAGCGCATCCCGGAATATCTGATTCATCTCCAGGTGAGCCTGGCTACACAAGCCGGCAGACTTTTACAATGAACTATCAGTTTTGGCTTCCAAATTAGCAATTCTATAAAGGCTCAAGGACTCAATGTTTCCAAGTAGTAGTCATATGGCTTAGGTTGTTATGGTTACACCACACCACACCATACCATAGTCTGCAGGATGAGCTAAAGTCTTGAAATTTTTGATTTATTATCCTTGTCTTTGAAGTTCTAGCTTTACTTCCCAGCAGTCTCCTCTTCTGGGAGTCCAGGATCTTTCGTGAACACTCTTTTCATGACGTTTAAGTTCCTATTCAGTCCCCTCCTCTTTGGTTGTACAACCTCTAAGTGTCACCTCTGGCCTCTTGATTTCTGCCTAACCTGCCCACTAAACTCCTTAGGTCAGGGTTCTATTATACAGTACTCATACCTTATGTCCCAGAAGGGCCATGAGGAGCCAATGAACAAATTCTTGAGGTAATTTTCCTGTGGAGCCCGTAGCCCTGTAGAGTACATAGAGTTGAGTTCAAGAACCGTATATTAGTAACTCTTCATCCTCGTGATAACCATGGGCTCTGGTGTAGGGGGTTGACTGATCTTAAGGAATTCAGTGAAAACATCTCAGAATTGCTTGTCATTAACCTCAGGTAGAAGCAACCCAGAATCAGTATTGAGATTTTTCACCTGGATATGGCTTTTCTCACAATAATTATCTTATGGATCCTTTGAACAGTTTCATGAAACAGGTATTATCATTATTATCATTTTTCATAAGGACATAGAGGACCAATGCAGTCCCAGCACTGTGTTCAAGATAACACACCTAGTAGGCAAAAACTGTGAGTGGAAGCCCAGGTCTTGCAAACACTAGGTAAAGAGGCCTGAGGGCTACTCTCTACTTTCCATGCAAATCCTTCTTCTAGCATTTATTAGATGCATGAGCTAAAGAAGATCACCAAATTCGGTGTCTCAGTTTTCTTACTTAGTATCTGTCTAACTGGGCTGTGATAACGAAGATAAAATTGGTTAGCTCCTAGAAATAGAAAGTAGTCAACAAATAAATAATAGAGCCCTTGAATGTTAGAAGGGCCTTTGTTCCATGCTGTGCTACTGTAGCAAAATTCCTGAGGCTGGGCCTTTTTTAAAGGGAAGAGGTTCATTTTGACTCACAATTCTGGAGGCCCAAAAGCATGGTGGTGGTGCTGGTGTCTGGTGACCCCCTCATGGTAAACACAGTGGTAGCACAGGTAACAATGACAGGTCACACAGAATGAAAGAGGAAGTAAGGGGGTGGTGCCCAGGCTCACTTTCCTGTAACTATTTTTTTTCCCCCACAAGAACCCACTCTTTAAAACCAGCGTTAATTCCTTCATGAGCATGGTCAGCATCCAGTCACTTTCACTAGGTCCCACCTCTTAAAGGTTCCACCATCTTTACAAAAAATCATTACACTGTAGACTGAGCTTCCAGCACCTGGACCTTTGGGAGAGAAACCATAGCCAAACCATAACATCAGGCAATGTAATAGGAGGGACTACTGTCCACCCCACCCACCCCACAGGCTCACCTGATGCCTATCATTCTCAGCATTGGTCTGACTCCTTTAAGTATTGCTTATGGATAGTAGTTGTTAGAATATCTTTATTATTTCATATGTCTAATTATCGGGTCTTTCCCAGTTTTCAAAATGGAATTAGGCCACATTCGACTCACACAGAACAGACTAACTTATATTCTTTTGATGTGATAGGGCAGTAAGCAGCTGTCTGATGATTTGATAGCTGGACCATGTGTTTGAGTGATTTGATTGGAGCGCCCAGTAGCTCAAAGTGAGGCAGGGAAGAGATGGAGCAATTCTTCTGCCTGATTTTGCAACACTGATTCCTTTTCCCTTCCATCCAGAATGTGCTGAAGTTCACAGAGCAGGAACACCCCGACTATTACCTGCTCCTCGTGTGTGTCCAGCGCCTCCGCGTCTTTATCTCTCATTACACCCTGCTGTTTCAGTGCAATGAAGAATTGCTTATTCAGAAACGGAAAAAGCTCAAAAAGTAAGGTTGTGATGGTGCAGCACCTGACGAAGGTTTCTGAGAAGAGGGTACAGACCAGTCACTTGAGTGTCTGGAAAGGGATGAAGGGAGGTAGCAAGAAAGGTGAAGGGGGGACAGTTAGGCTGGCCACAGGAGGGAGACACCTATGGCCTGGTGAAAGTAACTTCAGAAGAAAAGCACCCGGGCTCTGTTGTTCCCATTATGTCCCCTCCCTTGACTTTCCAGGTTCAAAATTGCAATTTAAAGGTCTGAATATAGTTTCCTTCATTAATGTAATAAACATTCAGTGAACGCCTGTTGTGCACTAGGTACTGTTGTACCCAGTGAATATACCGCATGAACGAAACAGTCATAGACCTCTGTCACATGGGGCTTAGTCTTTAGAGCCCGACAATGAAGAATAAGTTAGGTGCTAATGAGCATTGAGGGTAAAAGTGTTGGGGGTATATGTGACTGAATAGATTTCACAGTATGCAGAAACAAAGTCAGGCAGCATCTGGGCCTCGGAGAATAGAAGCAACCCACAAACATTTCCTTAAACATCCTGTATATCTTGAGAACATTATCATTTCTCTGTTTCCAACTAGAAAGACAGCATCTCCTAACCCAGTGCCTTCCTGACAGGTGTGTCTCAGTACCATCCTGCATCCCCAAGTTCTTTTCAACTATTATGTAAGCAACCTGACTTATAGAGGGCTCCGGGGATATAGAACCCATCACAGAAAGCTTCATCTGAGAGGCAAATCTGTTTTTCTTAGCATAATCTCTGAGTTCAGAGAGCCAGTTTCACACTGCGCAACCTGAGGTTTAGTATTTCCGTTCTGTTAGGTCGTCTATGGCAAAGCTGTACAAAGGGCTGGCTTCCCAATGTGCCAATGCTGGCCAAGATGCTTCCCCCGCTGCAGGCCCGGAGGCTGTTCGTGACAGTGGGATCCATTCAGAAGAGATGCTCCAGCCCTATCCTTCAGCTCCCACTTCTGCCCCCGCTGTTACGTAAGCATCCGCTGTAGTTGTAGAGGTTAGCAGCATGGGCCACATTAGAAGTTCTCCAGAACTCCGCCTTGCCCCATCGGTTCCTTAATAACAGCCGAGCAGTTGATCTGATGTTTGGATCTCAGAGAAAGACACTAAGAGGCAGATTTGGAAAGCGCCGACAGCAAAGTAGAGATCCACTTTGTGCATTACTTCAACTCTTGAAGCAGTGTGAAATGTTTACCTTAAGTATAAAAAGTAGAGGGGGAAAGTCCTTCATTAATAACTATGGCTGTTATTACACTCTGGGCAGGGAAAATAAAAGTATCAATCTTCCAAAATAAGATTGGTGTAAAGTCAGTTCAGCTCACCTTTTTTTCATATCTGTAAATGTGAGTCCTAAGTTTCATTGTAAGATCGATGTCTTGCAATCTCTTAAGATATTAGTGTTAGTATTCACATATGCATCCATATACATTTCAGACAAAGAATTAAAATATGTATAAATAGAGTAAAAATTTTGGTCAGTGTACAGTAGTTCAGTTATATCTGTTTTGTTAAATAAGCAAAACAACAAAAATCCTACATTTTTTAAACCGTGTAATTTGCTGTGTGCTTCCAGACAACAAAACTCTATAGAAACTGGGTAAATTCAGTTTTACATTGTATTAATATTTTGTGGGTGGTCATTTGAGATGACAGCCAAGAAACTTTCAAAAAATTTATTATAGAAATGTAAATTTTACACAAATGAGTTTATCCCAAACAAACAAACAAATCAACCAACCAAAACGGCAACAACGAAGTGTTCAGTGCTCTTGGAGAGGTCTCAAATTTAGCCAGGTGGTGGAGGCACAGCCTGGTCTACAGACTGAGTTCCAGGATAGCCAAGGCTACTCCCTGTTTTGAGAAACCAGGACTTTATCCTCTGTATGGTGATCCGGAGTTCAACAGGTTATTTGGGAACACAATTGTTTATGTGTGAATATCTAGAGGCAGTATCAAGTTCGCTTTCCGGTATTCTGTATGTGACTCTGTCACAGCAAAGGGAGAGAAATTGAAAAGGGATGTCTTGGGAGTTGCCTGGTGGCAGGGGCTCGGGAGTTTCCATCAGGACAATGATAATGTCAGCCTTTGTCGCTCATGTGTTGTCTCAGTGACTTAGCTTGGAAGTTGAAAGAGATGATTTTCCTGGCCGCTGTTTCCACTCTTCCAGGAGGATCTAGGCATTCTTGAGAGATCTCCGTAGTTAGTTTGTGGAGCTTGATAGGTCACCCACGACGGCACTTGGGAGGGGAGAAGAGCTGGCCTGGGACTGCTCGCTTGGAGAAAGCTCAGCACTGTTTGATTGTCTCTCTTGTATCTTTTCCCCCTTTAAAGACATTTGATGCCCCAGGCGAAGAAAGGCCAACAGCAGCAGAGCCTCATGGAGAGCATGCAGCCTGGGAAGCCGGGGGACTGGGAGATGGAGAGCAGAAAGCACGAGCGGCCCGAGAGCCTGCTGGCCCCGGCGCAGTTTTGCGCGGCTGAGCAGGACGTGAAGGCGCTCGCCGGGCCGTTGCAGTCCATCCCGGAGATGGACTTCGAGCCGTCCCCGGCCGAGCCGCTGGGCAATGTGGAGCGCTCGCTGCGCGGCCCGACCGAGCTCCTGCCCGACGCGCGCGGTTTCGTGCCCGCCGGCTACGAGGAGTTCGAGTACGGAGGCGAGATCTTCGCGCTGCCCGCGCCCTACGACGAGGAGCCCTTCCAGGCGCCGGCGCTCTTCGACAACTGCTCGCCCGCCTCCTCCGAGTCCAGCCTGGACATCTGCTTCCTGAGGCCCGTCAGCTTCGCCATGGAGGCCGAGCGGCCCGAGCACGCGCTGCAGCCGCTGCCCAAGAGCGCCACGTCGCCGGCGAGCAGCAGCAGCGCCTACAAGCTGGAGGCGGCGCAGGCGCAGGCGCACGGCAAGGCCAAGCCGC